TTAATGCCCGTTTGCAAGGATTTAGGAATCATTTTTTTAAAATGGGTATATTTACTGGCCACACATGCACAAGTAGATGAAAACAGTTATTTGCGTCGTCTGAAAACAAAATGCCAGCGCTTTGGGGCAAGCTGGTGCCCTTCCCTGAGACCAGGCGAGACTAATAAAGGATTTATTTTCTTATTTTATCTTATCTTATCTTAATGTCTCCCCCCCACCCTTGCAATTACATTGCTTTTATATGGTTTCGCCATTGTCGCGGAGCCCCCGGGTGAGCCATACATGACACTAACTCCATTGTTGACTAGTCGACATATAGAACTTGAAGGTGACTAATCCATACCTCATCTTCCACTCAGCCAATTTACAGATAAGTTTCGATTGGTCTCTCTGCTGCCATCACCGGTTTATAACGCTCTGTGCAACAGACACAATTTTCACATGTCTGCGTGAGTATGAGAGTACTAAAAATACACTGGTTGTGATCTTTAGCTCGGGTCACTAGCTTCCGCTAGTCAAATCGCCGCTAGCCTTAGAAAAGTCAAACAAGGCCACGGTCAGAAATACCCGACTGGTTGTGGTGTGAAATAAAGCGCCATCCTTGTCCAACAATTCGCAGACAACAACTGTGCTAATGAGAACTTCATTTATCATGCAACCACCATCGTTTTTCGACACTGGCAGTTTCGTAATAACACTCGCAGCATGGCTTGGGCCATATGCTCCTAACATGTGGAAATATTTGACCAAAAAGGAGACCACTTGCTTGTCTCTCCTCAAATGCAATAAAAGCACATGTCAAATAGAAACAGTCAAGCAGAGAAATGCTTCAATTTTTTTGGGGGGCCCGGGGGGCACAAAGTTTGGTCTTACAAAAAGCTATGATGTACATTTATACATTCATCATAAGGGGGACGAGTAAATTTGATCCATTTCATTAATTTGCTTCTTTGCATGTCTTTACATAAAGCTGAACCGTTGCACTAAAAAGAGTGGGCACCGCAGGCTACAAAAAAAAAATGCTATTAACGTCAATGACTGATTCGACTTCAACTTGACATTAAGAGTCGTCGACTGGTTTCGCCTGTCGCCCCAAGATGAAAACAAGACTGACACCACTACACTAAGGGAACGCAAATGCAAAAGATAAATCAGCCTCTCTTTTCAAGAAAGGGGAACAGATTGAATGAAACATAAAAATGCCGAATTAGTTGCAGTAAATTCTCCTGGTAAGGAAAGCTTCTGAAGTACAACATCAATAGTTGTAATCGTGCCGTGTGTCTTAAAGAAATAACCGAGGCGGCAGAGGATAACACCAACAGTTTAAGCAACGCAATTTATTATGCAATAAAAACAAGAATTGGCATTTATTTGTGAGGCTGCCTCTGATGATTCCAAGAGAGGCTACTTTAAATGCCACCGGATGCTGCATTTGAATAGGGTGGGTGGGCTAGTTGTTTTGCAACGATGCTCACATTTCAAAAGAGTCATCAAGTTCGACGTACTGGCAAAATAATTTTGCTGTGCATGGCATACGCTCGCCAGAAGCTGAGCCGTTTTGGATTTTTAAACATTTTATTTTATTTTTTTGCTAGAGCATGGGGACTTTCCGTGTTGTGCTCCATGCAAGAAAGGAAAACATTGTGTCTGACCTTTCACTGAGGCAACCTCATGCTTCTTGGATCTCATTGTAGTACTTCTCCATGTCATTCTCGTAGCATTTTTTTGTATCAGTCCAGAATCTCAGCGTTACACATGGGGGGGGGGAAAAAAGGGAAAACATGGAAACATGGGATGTGTTTTGTCACCACACATCTGCTCCAACTCTGCTGTGTATCCTCAAGGAAGCCACACACGGGGCCTATGAGATCGTCCTGTACGTTTGACAACAATGCCTTTTCTCTCATGCGCGCGCTCTACGCCACAGGCGACACGTTCCACTCAGTCGAGCGCCTCAGTGGTCCTGCTTGTAATTTCCGCCCGTGTACTGCGCTGAGAGGTACGCACCACTGACTTTTAACTGCCGTCTTCCTTTATCCCGCTACACAAATGGGGCAGCTTTTCTTCTGTTTTCAAAAATAACTACATTCGCTGTAGTCTGTCCTTCCACAAAATGTATTCAGATCCCCGGAAGCGGATAATTTTCCAACTTTCCAGGTTCTGAATATAAACTAGAGTAAAAAAAAAAAAAATCGGCTTCGAAGTGCTGGGTATATGCATGACTGCAGGGCTCTCAAACTTCGGTCCTCGACAGCTGCTTTCCATCTCTCCCTGCTGCAACACAGTCGATTGAAATGATGAGGATTGTCATCAGGCTCCTGCAAGCCTACTGTTGAGCTGAGGATGTTTTTGTTCTAAGAACTGCATTTGTCCAATTAAAGGCCTCTCACTTTATAAAAGCCACCCCCAATCTGCAGTTTAATTAATACATGTCCCAGCCCGTCTATGAGGAAATGCAGAGTTTCCTTTTGTTTCGTGATTACTGGAAGTAACGGGGAGGGAGCACAGACAGCAAAGTTTGGTGTAGGACAATTTGGAAACAGTTTCTGCAGTATGATGGGTAAGTGAATGGAGTGAGGTTCCCCTGGGTTGCGAACTTAACACATATCACCATGAGGAGTCCATGTTACATTTCCGATGTTTTCGTAGTGTTGGCTGTTTTTCTTTTTTTTTTTGGCCAAGTTTTCTTCTTTTTATTCCAGGTGGCTATTAGGAAAAGATCATTCGTTTTCACCTTCTTCTGCCTATGAAAAGAAGTTCTTTGAATGTCCTTCGCTGATAAAAAAAATTTAAATACGAAAAATCATCGGCACGTCAGTGAATCAAATTTCGGAGGTCAAAAAGTCCATAGCTAGTGATGATTTAATCTATGCTTTTTGTTAGGTTCACACCGAACCGAATAATGCACGATTACAAAAATGTTTATTAAATAAAATCGCATTAACAAAGTATAAACTAAAATCGCTGGTCACAAAGAGCCAGGAATAAACAATGCATGAAACCAAAAGCGCTTGCAAAGGCAAGATTAAATAGAACACAGAGTACATGCAAAACAAAATGTAAAAAATCCAATAACACAAAAACAATCAAGAGTAATTGTAAAATAAAATACTTACAAATGAGAATCTATGAAAAAGCGATAGCGACTATGAATTGTATCGTGAAGGCTAGAAAATAATACTTGAAGCATAACAGCAAGCAAGGTCGATAATCCGACAAGGAATAGCAGAAATCAGAGTCCTTCAATACCCAGCCAAGCTTGATGGGGTAACGAGGCACAGGTGCACCTGCTGGAGGTAACCGCCCTTCACTCCAGCTGGAACTGGAACGCAATCAAGACAGACATGACAGCTTTCGAATTCTATATCGCAAATAAAAAGCCTAGAAACGATTTTCTATTAACTACTAGCCAAATGGACTGTAATGCACATCAATCGAAAGACCACTCATTTTTATCCAGCAACACCCGATCGACATATAGATTAACAATACCAGTTGACTTTTTTTTTTTCTGGAGTATTTTCCAACTATAGTGTTATGCTTAACAGTTAATAGTTGAACTTAGATTATTTTGCACTTCAATTTATTTTGTACATAGACTAAAACTCGGTGAGTTGTCAGTTTTATTTTGCACTTGTGTTGAATGCTCTCTTACAGAGTGACTGTTCTGCCTTTTGTCAGAGACAAATGAAAGGTCTTTCTCAACTCAACTCAACTGTATTTATAGAGCACTTTCAAACAGCCATCGCTGCATACAAAGTGCCGTACATGGAGCAATTCAACATACACAACAAACAGTAAAGCAAATCGGTAATAAAGATGGTAGAAAGCACCGAACCGCAAAACCAAGAACAAATCTGAGTCATGCTGAGTCAAATGCCAAAGAATACAAGTGAGTTTTGAGGCGGGTTTTGAAGATGGGCAGCGAGGAGGCTTGCCGAATGTTCAGTGGGAGGTCATTCAGAGAGAGGGACCAGCAACAGAAAAGTCTCGATCCCCGCTGAGCCTCCGTTTAGTTCTTGGTACTTCTAATAATGTCTGGTTCGATTGAAGAAAAATAGCACTGTGATGTGGAAAAACATAGAGTAGCAAAGGAGAATTTGAAGAAACAAACTGGTTTTAGGATGTATAATCGAGTCAAAGGTCACATACTCACACTGCACTCTTCTTCTCTTATCGTGTCCTTTCAAAGGCAGCGGCCTCGTCGTGAATGATTTCAGGAGCCAATCGAGTTAGCTGCGGACTTTTGTGCAAGCGTTTGCTCCCCGCAACCTCGTCCTCATTTCATTAATTCCTTGTCCTTTTTTTTTGAGACTGTTGACTTAAGATAAGGAGACAGGAGGCCCAAGTCGACAGGATGGGGTGTACAAGGGCCACTGGGACCAAACAGTATCACCTCTGTCTTCTTTTCATTGAAAGTCAAGAAATTTTGACCACCAATTTGAGTATTTATCATTAAAAAGTGATGCAAAGACCCAATTATCGCAGCTCGTAGCTTTCATTTGTTTTTTGATTTGCATGGCTTGGCAGATCTAATGGCCCCCGCCACGGTTTTAAGAGCTAAAGAGCCAAGTGCCCGTGAAGACTTGCATACTGCATTAAAAATAAAATCCACTGGGAGTATATAATGGAACGCAGGGTTTAAAAGATATGCTGTGTCTCAGAGAGAGGATTTGCATGTCTTACTGGCAAATGGGAAATACAAAAACATTGTGGAGTTGCTATTCCATGTAGAATCAGGCAGAATGTCGTGCTAAACTTTGACCATGGCGCTGAGCTTTCATGCCACTTCGGTGGTGTAAACGGCATCTCCTTCTAGCAAGTAACGACTCGCTTAAGTGACTCTGACGAAAGAAATTTGGCCATCTGAATGCAAATAGCAGCTAGATGAAGCGCACATCGTGATGTCTTATTTGTCTGAAGTCATTCTAGCAGCTAGATGAAGCGCACATCGTGATGTCTTATTTGTCTGAAGTCATTCTATTGTTGTCTCTTTTCAGGGAGTGCATACAGAGAATGCACCGAAAACGGCACATGGGCGCTAAAAAGCAATTATTCAAACTGTGTTCCCATGTTAGAGGAAAAGGTAAGTGTTTTTTTTTCTTTTCTAGATTTTTGAATTGCCACCAAAAGGAACTGCATTTGTATTTGGTGTCGCTCAATTAAACCCTTGAGACGTTTTGTTTCTGGACGCCTACGCCCGTCTGCAAGTACAATATCAGTGCCTGGATGAGTTGAAGCCTGCAGGCAAAGCAGAAGACTGACTGTAACTTGTGGCCCAATTGCTCGTCGCATCTCCCTATTCAAGTATATTTTTGGCTCTTGCTCCATTTTTCCTCAGACAAATTTCGACATCCTAAGACATTTGAAGTGTGTCAATGGCATTTGCTTTCCCTCCTTGTACTAAAATTGCCTGATAACAAGCTTGGATATAGAGGCTTAGTGACGTATTTTCAGGAGTGTGACAAAAATAAAAGAGGAGTGGCACATATATTGTTAGCTTAATAGCATGATTGGCCAAATCACCTTTAACTTACTCTCTAATATCAAATAGAAAAACACCAAAGTAATTGCTAATAACTGTGTTATTCTTTTTTTCTTATGCCCAGACATTTAGGTCATGGTAATCGGCAAATGTTGCAGCAAGGCAGCCGACCCTATTATTGAATTTGTTGATTTTCCTTGTTCTCCGACAACATTTAACAATAACATTTACAACTGTAGTATTACGACTAACCCAATGGCAGCAGACAGCCGATGGCTAGCTGGCAAGAGAAGCTGGCATAGCAGTCGACACCTTTACTCGGTGCTTCTTGTCAAACAGCACAAACAGAACTGAACCAGTCATCCTGCTTGCTAGCCAAAGCAAAAAAATTGCAAGAATAATCTTCTGTCAAGGCTAAAGTGTTTTATATTTACAGAGTGAATGTGTGGGTGTCTGTCACCTTATATATTTTGTTAAATGTCATTTTACTTTATTATCTGTTGACATTTACAACAGTGTGATGCCATTTCAAATAAGTTAGCAAGTTGCGTTATTTGATGCTCTGCCAAAAGCAATATTGCAAGGAAAGACGTCGTTGTATTTCACTGTGGAATAAAATGATGCGACTGCACATGTTTTCCCTTTGCTTATATGTTTATTTAGTTTCATGTTCTTCAGTTCTGTTTACTATACACTGTGATTCAAATGTTTTTCAAGTTTGACGTCCCGCCAGTAGCACGTTGCTAGCCAAGGTGCTCATGAGCCAGTGCGATGCAACTACACACGCTTTCCCTTTATGTTTTTGTTTATTTAACCTGTTCATTTATTTAGTTCTGTTTATTTACTCTACGCTGGCATTTATGTTCACATGATGCGATTTCAAATGTGTTTGACGTTGTTTCAATAGCATATGGCGAGCCAAGATATCCCCTAGCCAGAGTGTGATGCCAATACACACGCTTTCCTTTTGCTTATGTTTATTTCATATTATTTTATTTTAGTTCATTTTATTATATACATTGGCCGGCAACCAGTTGAGGTTGTACCCCGCCTACTGCCCGAAGCCGCCTGGGATAGGCTCCAAAAAGACCCTTGTGAGGATAAGCGGTTCCCATAATGGATGGATGGATTTATTCTACACTGGTATTTATGTTCGCGTGATCCTGTTTCAAATGTGTTAGTGAGTGTGACATCCTGCCAAAAGCATATTGTGAGCCAGAATGTCTGCTAACCGGATGCTGAGCTGCACTGTTGAAATGCGGCAAGAGTGTTTTATTCTATTTCATTTTATCAAAAAGAAATGGTGATATATTGTCGGAATGTAATCTGTGTGTTTGTGGGTGTTTTGCATGTTGTCTTTCAGAGAATGTATCCAGTGCATTACAAGATAGCGCTGATCATCAACTACCTGGGCCACTGCATCTCTGTGGGGGCGCTATTAGTAGCCTTCATCCTCTTCCTGTGCTTAAGGCGAGTACAGAAATAGTGTGCAAACATTCCTATGTGCGATGCATGCCATCTCAAAGCAGCAGAGGTTCTGGAACATTCTTCTCCTATTTCCTCGATTCGTTGTCAAAAGGTCGTTCATGTCAACTGAATAGATTACGGCAGCTCTGCACCGTATGCATATGTGCCGTTTATGATGAATGTTTGCCCTCTTCTCCCCTTCACCGGAGCCTTTGTGATTCTTTGCATGTCCAACTTGAAACATACACCTACACTTGCTAGGACAGAGTGGGCCTCAGCTGCACTGTTCGTAGCGAGCAGCTGACTGCGATTAAAGGCTGAAATAATCAATATGAGGTGGGGATATCAAAAGATGGCAGCTGCTTGTACTGGTGTGAAATCTGCTTGGATGTGGGCCCAAAATGCACAAAGTAAATATCCCATCTCGAACGTTATTGTTCAGGTTCGCCAGTAATATACATAGTGCTAAAGAAACAAAACTGTGGCAAATGAAAGCCTGGAAGGAAAAAAAAAACAAGCACATGTTGCAAATGATCTTACAACAGAATACAGGTGGCATCTTTTGCAACACCGGGATAATGAGTCGTTCACCAAGTGGCATTGAGTCACAAGTGCTGACGACCGCAATCTTGTTTCTGTCTTGTCACTATGGCATCAAATAATCATTCGTGACAGTTACCAGAAGGTTGGAAACTATTACATTTTTTGCATCTATCCATCCAACTCATTTTTTTTCTTCCACTTATCTGGAGTCGGGTTGCGGGAGCAGCAAATTTAGCTGGGAAGCCCAGACTTCCATCTCCCCAGCCGCTTCGTCCAGCTTTTCCAGGGCAATCACAGACCAGCCAGGACACATAACTCATCCACCATCTTTCCTCCTTAGGAGCATTCGGTGTTTGCGCAACATCATCCACTGGAACTTAATTACCACCTTCATCCTGAGAAACGTCATGTGGTTCCTGCTACAGCTCATTGACCACAACATCCACGAGAGCAACGAGGTAAGCGTTGCTCGGTGGCTGCACTGTGTTTGACTGAATCAATGTGCTCGTGATGTCTTTACCTTATGGCAGCCTTGGTGTCGCCTGATGACCACCATATACAACTACTTTGTGGTCACCAACTTCTTCTGGATGTTCGTGGAGGGCTGCTACCTGCACACGGCCATCGTGATGACCTACTCCACCGATAAGCTGCGCAAGTGGGTCTTCCTCTGCATCGGCTGGTGTAAGTGCATATCCCACGCATGTTATTCCCGTACGTGTATCTCTGCTTTTTGTTTGAAAAGGTTGCGTAGAACGATGCCAAATTACTGGTGCGTGTCATGTTCTCATACGAAAAAAATATATAATTCATGACCTTTTGCTCTTCCTTGTGAGGGCGTGCCGCTGCTCATTTGCAGATGGTGTTTACTGGGTTGCCATGGCGATTAGTGGCCATCCCTTTGCGGATTGCAATGTCGACAACTGATAAATACAAAGTGAATGAGGCACAGTTTTGATTTGATTTTTTTTTCACAACTAATCATATTTCCCAGGTGTTTAATAACATCAAATAGAAAAGACTCTCTTTAATCCATCCATCCATCCGTTATCCGAGCTGCTTATCTTCACGAAGGTCGCTGGCATGCTGAAGCCTCTCCCAGCTGTCTTCTGGGCAGTAGGCACGATACACACTGAACTGGTTGCCAGCCTATCACAGGGCACACAAACGACCAATCGCGCTCACAGTCACACCTCAGGGGACAATTTAGAGCCTTCAATCAACCTACCATGCATGTTTTTAGGATGTGGGACGAAACCGCAGCACCTGGAGAAAACCCACAAAGGCAGGGTGAGAACGTGCAAACTCCACACAGGAAGGCCAGGGCCCGAATTTGAACCCTGGACCTCGGCATTGTGAGCCAGACGTGCTCACCAATCCTGCACCGTGCCGTTGAAATTTTTAATACGCAAGATAATTTTCCATGTCGTCAGGTTAATGTTTTTAATATTTTTGTTACATATTGACCGTGTAAAGCAGCAGTTAAGCAGTGGATTACTTAGATTCCAGCACGCCCACGACCCTCGTGAGGATCAACAGCTCGGATAATGAATAGACGGTTAACCTGGCAGTAAAACTTCACTTTATGCCTCTGCTTTTGTTCCACAGCGCTGAAATCAATCTATTAAGACTAGTAGTGATTGCAGTTAGCCTCAAGTAGCTTTCGGCTAATGTACGGCTCCGCTAGCTTCACCTGCCCATTAGTGTGCAGCAGAATAACGCCACGTCTGCAGTGTTGTCAGATACGGTCAGTCAATCGCAATTATCGACCAAGTATTTATTTCTTTTTTCCTGGTTTGCAACCTATTTGAGGAATGCGATCCATGGTTCCTTTTTTTTTTGGTTTTTAATATCTATAACAGACAGTGTTACAGTCGTGACACTGTGTAGCTTTGCGTGATTTCCATGTAACTGCCGTCGGGGTGTTTCCATTTTCCTGCTCTATGGTCCTTCATCACACTTTTTGAAGGTGTCAGGCTTTGGAGCTTCCACTGTACTTTGAGTACTTGTGTCATTTCATCCTCCAGGTCTTTATTTCATCCGAGAGCCACGCGGAAAATGTCACTACGGTTTGCACTCGCGTCGCATTGTTTTTTCCGGGAGCACCAGCATCTCAGCGCGTTTTCCCTCCAGGCATACGAAATGCACACGTAAACATTGTCGGACGCGTCCTTGAAAAGAAGTCTGACATTCTTTCTGTTGATGTCATGGCTAGTTATGCGTATTCTCGCTGGCTATAGAATGAGTCGGAGTGGGGAGCGGGGGGGTAAATGTGACGGTGCAGATAAGACAGATGCTAGCTCATCGGCACTGAGAATCAACTCGATGAGATTGTGCCCCAAGAAACGAATAGCTGAGTTCAATGGAGAAGTGACCTACATTTATGTTCAGGCGAGGGAGGGACCTCGTTAAATTTCAATTCCTCCTTTGTCATAGCATCCAGCACTGTCATTACTTTTAATAGTGATCAGCAGTGTAGTTTTGGGAAAAAAATTCCAGTCATGCTCTAATTGTGCATGTGGGTCCTCGCTTTGGAAAAGTTTTTTTGTTTTTTTTTTTTGCGCCCTTCACCAATACTTGATGCTATAAAAATGTTAATGACCAAGGCAATTAGATAAAAACGTAACATGGTTTGATGGAAGGTCAGCTCGTCATTACAAAAACAGCTCCAGAGCATTTTTGCAATTTATGTAAGTCACTCTTATCTCTTTTTAAAATAATTTTTATTCATGATAGAAATACACATAATGAATTTTAAAGAAAGGAGGGGGGAAAACAGTGAGAAATTATTTTTAGAGGGGATCTATACAGATGCAATAATTTTTTTTGATATATTTTTGTCCTATTAATACAAATATTTTAGTTTTATAAAAGACATAATTTTACCAGACACACTAGACGTTTATTTTGAGAACTCATTAAAACATATAGAGAGAATATATGTACTTTATAATTGTTAATTTCTGTTCATTTATTTGAATGAAATTCAATGCATTTCCATAATTTGAATGACCAAATAAAATAACTGATACAATATTACATTACGATATTACATTTACAAAGAAATTCATGTTGGTGTTACTTCACAAAGACAAAACACCTTTGAGGCCAGAGCAACGATGAGTCTTGAACACAAAACAACAGGGCAACAATTTGCTCTTTACTGTTTAATAAACAAAAGGGTGTACAAAAAAAACCAAAAAGATCTTTGTCTCTCTTTTTAAACAAATGGTCTCAAATGAGCCCGTTAAATATGAAGTGTTTTTAGTTGCTTTTTTTTTTTTTTTTTGCTGCTCTTCATGGCAGAGCTAATGTCACTGCGATTGATGCAAATTGAAGGCAATGAGTTTATTAATTTTTTTCCATGTATTAGTCAAATTCGCAGGGCTGTCAGATCAAAAAGGGAACACATGGAACAGGCAGTCTTTCTCGCTTGATGAGGCTTATTTATACCCACAAGCATTCTTTCATATCTAACTAGTACAGGTACATAAAATTGTACACAAAATTCTACTTGACCAAAGTCAAGTAGAATTTCATTTCTGTCATTCGATTTCAAAGTTTAAGAGTTTTGGAGATGATGATGTTTTTTTTTTTTTTTTAATCTTTTGGGAATTTTTGCTATACGGGCATTCATCCTTCTGTAAGGTGCTCATTTGCCTTTTGCACATGTGGGCATGTTTGTATTTGCAGACTGATCGTTTTCGTTGTTGTTGTTGTTGGACATTGCACATGCTTGTATTTTACTCTGCTCTCGCAATTGTTGTCCAATGTGGTGCTTTAATGTCAAATCAAATGAACTCTTTGCTTTTGATTCTTTGAATGAGTTAATTGCTGAAAAAAAGGGTCATTAAAACACCAACAAGTGCCTAGTGCCTGCCGAGCACCTCATTACTTGTGTGTCAGTTAAGAATATTCCAATATTACCGAAAACATTGGCTGAAAACATTTTATGTTGGCCACAAGTTGATCTCGTGAAATGTTATTTATGATACGGTTATTTATGATCTTGAATTCAGTCACTTGAAATCCTCCTTCCTTTTCAGGTATACCGTGTCCCATCATAATAGCCTGGAGCATTGGGAAGCTGTATTATGAAAATGAAAAGTAGGTGGTTGAATGAGTGAACATAATTTGTTTAGCTTTTAGTACATTGAACGGAAAATGAAAAAAAAAAAAAAAACGAAACCAAATCTGAGAAATTCAACATCGGTATTTTCTATTGATATTGTGACAGTAAATCCAAATTCAAGCTCAGTCATTGAAGTGTATTGGCTTGCCGTTCACTGCGTGCTTCCCCTCAACAGATGCTGGTTCGGGAAGGACCCCGGCAAATACATCGACTACATTTACCAAGGGCCTGTCATTCTTGTGCTACTGGTCAGCATCACTGCAAGACTCTGCATTGTACATTTGTTGTGTTTGGTTATTTCACGGAAGTAATGTAAGTGATGCTAATTTACAAAGCGTTTTTTTTTTTGTTTGTTTGTTTGTTTTTTTGCTGATGCCTTATAATATGGGTGGAGCAAAGTCTCCAACACATCATTTCGCTTTTTGATTTGCTATCTTTCTGTTCTAGATAAACTTTGTTTTCCTCTTCAATATCGTCCGAATCCTGATGACCAAACTAAGGGCGTCGACGACCTCAGAAACCATCCAGTACAGGTGAGCAGGCTTTTTCTTCGCCTTCTTTTGTAAAGTACCACAATCCTGGATGGCGGCGGCACACATTCACTGGTGCTTCTCAATCGCTGCTTTCACGTTTAAGCGCTTCCTCTCTGTGCAGTCGATGAGATTCAATTCAAGAAAATTGAATGTCATTTCAAGATCTGTTTTTTTTTTTCTCATAAGACCTTTTCAGTCTCCGCAAATGTATCCTTTAATGCGCACATTAGACGGTGCGTTTATTTTCACCAGATCTCTTGTTGCATGTAGCTCCGGGATGCATTATTGATATTAATCGTGCTTCATTAGGCGAGCTCGTCTCACGAGGGGGAGTTGAGCTGCTCGCCATCTGGAAGCACATTAGTTTTCATTTAAAGACACGTCAGCAGTGGACTATTTTTAGAAAGGAAAATGTCACATTTGATGTTGCATCGGTGCTGGCTGTGTTAATGTGATCATGTGTCAATCTGTCTGAGTGCCTTGTTGTCAGATCACTGATTTGTTGTTGACCACAATTTGCTGAGCAGCTCTTCGCCTTCACCCATGTATACACACACCCACACACACACACACACACACACACACACACACACACACACACACACACACACCACACCCCCTCCCCCATATACACACACACACACACACACACACACACACACACACACACACACACACACACACACACACACACACACACACACATTTGCGCATGCGCCCGCACTCACGCTCAAATCTTGCAGAAGGGAAGGATGACTCATATATTGACATCAGATGCCACACCTCAAAGCAGTAACAAAGTAAGAAATAAACAGCATCACATAAAAACGTTCTTTGCTATTTTTTATTTTTTACTGGCTTTTGTTGCAATACATTTATGGGAAATTAATTCCATTGAATAAAAACAAGTACTTTTATTTTTATCATTTTTAACATGTATTTATGGAAATTTGTTGTGTGGTTTTATTAAAATTTGTTATTATATATTATTATTATTATTATGAAAGAAAAATTCTAATTCTGTGTGCTTTTCTTGTTACTTTTTTCCCCATTTTTTTTTAAACTTCATCGTACCCAGACCTTCTTTTGACACCCAAACACCAATTTAAAACCCTACCCCTAGTTTGAAAGCAAACTTTGAAACCCAAACATTATTTTGAAATCCTAATCGGAAACTGAAGCAACAGTTTGAAACTATAATTTCAAAGCATACTCCAAGTTTGAAACCCTACTCCAGAACTCTAAACCTAATTTAAAACCCTCATTTAAAACACCAACTTCATTTTGTAACCCTAATTCATAACCAACTTCCTAGTTTGAAGCCCTACTTGAAACCCTCACCCTATTTAGAAATCCTACTTGGAAACCCCAACCCTATTATTTGTAACACTGCTTGGAAACCCTAATCCCAGATGGAAACGCTAACCCTAGCTGGAAACCCCACTTGGAAACACTAACCCTACCCTGGAAACACTACTTTGAAAACCACAAAAATGGTTTGAAACCCTACTTGGACACCCTAACTCTAGTGGGAAAAACCTATTTGGAAAAGCCAACCCTACTTGGAAATCCTAACACTAGTTTGAAACCATTCTTGGAAACCCTAACCCTCATTTGAAACCCTATTTAGAAACCTGAGGTCACACATTCTGAAAGTTGCATCCATCATAAATCAGATCCATAATGCTGTCCAAAATTGTATGCCGCCCATTGACTAGATGCAAGACTCCAGTTCCTTTTACGGATGTTTTTTGCACCGCAACATAAGGTAGAACTAAAAGTTCAGAAATACAACATAAAAAAACATTACATTTACGATAAAGATAGCTTTGCTTAGCGTCAAAGCTAATCACGTTAGACAATACGAAGTAGTACTGACCACTTTGGCCTGCTTTCAACCAACGGCAATCTTCTCCCAGAAATAATTCTTTTGTCAAAAATGTCATGCTTCAATTAACTTATTACATTAATTTTGTATATTCACTCGGCTTTGGCAAAACTATGATGGATGATGATGGAAAAAGTAAGCAACACGCATGGCAAATGCCGCTACGGCAAGTGTTTCTGCGCACAGCGTATGGAGTTTCGTTAACACGAAACTTCCAGGATTCATTTTCAAAATAAAGGCATGGTATTTCAAAATAAAGATGGCAGCAATTACAAATTGTGACCCTACTTTGAAACGTTTACCCTCTAGCACACAGGTGTCAAAGTCAAGGCCCAGGGGCCAGATCTGGCCCGCCGCATCATTTTATGTGGCCCGCGAAAGCAAATCAAAAATGTCAAGTTCCGTGATGCTTTCTAAAGTCAAAACCAAAATTTAATATTGTCATATGTAAACCACAATAACAGTTATTATTCTTGACTTCTGATTTTAAAACTAATTGTTCATAAATTTTCTGTGTGCTGTGTATGTAATATGTGGAGGGGATTAAACATTTATATGGTTTCCCCAAAATTCATAACTGCCCTCCAAGGGAAACCGTAACTACAATGTGGGGCGCGACAAAAATGAATTTGACACCCCTGGTCTACTCTAGCAGATCCAGCATCAGGCATATACGGTCCACTGAAAAGTTTGACACACAAATGTAAGGTACCCACACGTGCACATGCATGCACACACCAAAAACACTGGAGAATGCGAAGTAAATGCAAAAATCGAAAACAAGTCCCGAATAATCCTTTATTTATCCAGACCACCCGCGCAAATTACAAAGTTTGACCGAACAATTTATTGTGTTCTATCTCTAAATTTCATATTTCTTCTTGGCCTTGCTGCTCCCTCTGCAGAAAGGCCGTGAAGGCCACGTTGGTTTTGCTTCCTCTGCTGGGCATCACCTACATGCTCTTCTTCGTCAACCCGGGCGGGGACGACATCTCGCAAATCGTCTTTGTCTATTTCAACTCCTTCCTGCAGTCGTTCCAGGTAAGCGGATGACACGGACGATGCAGGCGACGCGGGACTCACGCCGACTGCCTTCATATCTCTTGTTGAAACTTTTTTCCTCCGGCCGGTCTTTTCGGCGGGGGAGGAAGATGAGAGGACGGTCGACATCCCCACGCTGTTTTGCGCTCTCAGCTGTCACAAATAAGTCGGCCGTGTGGGCATGATTGTTCTCCTGGGGCTATTTCTCCACCCGCTATCTTCAAATAATGCACTTATTTTCGGAATACAATCGTTGGAACTTTTCTAGGAGGCTGTTCAGCCCATGATTTTTATTGAATCACAATCACACCAATCAACATAAGCACAAAAAACAAGTTATTGTAGTTGTTATTCATGCTACGTTTGATAAGCATACTTTTCTGGGTCCTGCTTTCAGTATCATTTCTTCCTGAATGTATACTCAACTCTCTCAACTCAACTGTATTTATAGAGCACTTTCAAACAGCCATCGCTGCATACAAAGTGCTGTACATGGAGCAACTAACATATACAACAGTAAAGCAATAAATCAGTACAAAAATGGTAGAAAGCACCAAACAGTAAAACTAAGATCAAATCTGAGTCAAATGCCAAAGAATACAAATGAGTTTTGAGATGGGTTTTAAAGATGGGCAGCGAGGGGGCTTGCCGAATGTTCAGTGGGAGGTCATTCCAGAGAGAGGCACCAGCAACGGAAAAGGCTCGATCCCCTCTGAGCCTCTGTTTAGTACTTGGTACTTCTAATAATGTCTGGTCCGCCGACCTGAGGTGCCAGGCAGGTATACGTATAGGGGTGGATGAGCTCAGAGAGGTAAGGTGGTGCGAGGATATTTAAAGATTTGAAAACAAATACCGGTAATAGGATCTTGAAAAGAACTCTAAAATGTATGTGTGTGTGTGTGTGTGTGTGTGTGTGTGTGTGTGTATATATAAAATGTATATTTACATACACACACCAAAAACTGTATACGTAGCTATATAGAGTATACATGAACTTCATACCCGCACGTGTGTGTGTGTGTGTGTGTGTGCGTGTGTGTGTGTGTGTGTGTGTGTGTGTGTGTGTGTGTGTATACACACACAAAATAGTATATAAATAGTATAGAAAACATATCTAACAGTAATCACAGGTGTGAAGTGAAAACAAATGGGTGTGATATAAACATCCATCCATTCATTTTCAACACGCTTATCCTGATACTGGAGTTGCTGGAGCCTATCCCAGCTGACTTCAGGTGGAAGGCAGACCACACTCTGAACAGTCGCAGAGCACATATAGAGACAAACGACCATTCACTCCCGCATCCACACTGTCACTGAGTGGAAACCGATCCCACGCTGCCTGCGCACAAGTCAGGGGAGTGTACCACTACACCACCAGCGACTTGTGATGTAAACACTTTCACCTAAAAATGGTATACACATAAAACTGGTATAGGATAAAACTTAGATCCAAAAATGTTAGCTATTTCTGCACAGATACTTCAAAGGAACAGCCAGACATGAAAAATGGAAGACACACAGGTGTGAAGAAATGGTGGAGTTCTTGGAAGCTATACTGTAAGCCTCATGAACACTCAAGTGTCATGTTGAGGTTCACGCCATTTGCTGCATGTGAATGTCTTTCAGTCTACCGAGAGCAATGATGTGTCATTATGTCGTTCGTGTGATCTAATTGCGCCGTGATTACACCGTATGGCGCTGATGTGTGCTCTTCCGCAGGGCTTCTTTGTGTCTGTCTTCTACTGCTTCCTTAACGGGGAGGTGAGTAGAGCATATTCATTCATTCATTCATTCATTCTTTTGTCAAAAGAAGATCCACCTGAAATCAAATATTTACTAACAGTCTCAAATCCCTGCTCTATTTCTTTATTTATCCAAAGCATGTTAGACCCAATCATGTGTGACGTGGCTTTCATGAAGAAAAACACAATTGGTGCTAATATCTCCTGATGCATTTTCATGAGGTCGTTTCATGCGATCAAACGCTAATTGAGTTGCATCTCTCTCTCGCCTCTCATGCTGTCCTGGGTGCATTTACAAGCTTGCTGCCATTAATCAAATACTCTGTGACTGCTCGCTAATCAGTGCGGAGAGCTGAACGATCAACTCCTGTGTGCCTATTTTGATACACCTCCAACATTGGCTGCCATTGTTGTGTGCTAAGCAAGCAAAAATGCTAATGTGCTTCTAATTACATTTGGTGTTTTGCAATTACAAAAATGAATCTAGCCTAAGTGCTTGTTAAAATATGTAAAATATACCCGTATAATGTCACGTGTCCGGAAGGATTCCGGACAGAGCAAGGATTCCACAAGCGTAGACAGAGACAAGAGGCTTAGAACCAAAATATATTTATTTACAGAAAAGCAAGACCGACAAAGTACAACTAAGGACGGGGGTAACAAAGAACAAGAGAAAGGCGTGAACAAACCAAAAACGCTTGCAAAAGGCAAGGAGCAAGAAAAACATCAATTGCTTCTCAATTCAAAGGGCAAGAGAATCCAATACACAAACATACACCTAGAATACATAAGGCCAAACAAAAAAGATAGTGTGTTTCCGGTAACATGAAATTTCAGCATAGGGTCGGTAGGTCGGACAAAGGTTTTTTTTTTTTTTTTTTTTTATCATTTTTTTTTTCCCCATCAAAAATTTAAAAGAAATAACCATAAAACATAAAACAAGAAGACATTGAACCCGCCGCTACCTATTTAGTTTTCTCCCCGCTCCGGACTCGGGGGGCCGGGGCGCGCCGCCGCCTCCGCCGCCGTCCTCCTCCGCCCTCGGTTTTTACTCGGCTCGTGGTGTTCATCAAATAGCTGAATTTTTTCGATACATCAATGGATGCTATTTTCTTAACATTACGGTGCGAGCATGCGACTGTAACACAGAAAACGCGGTTTAAACTGTCGTCGGAGATCGCGGCCGCCGCCATGTTTCAATGTTGTTGACAGACAACAGGGCAAACGACGCACGCGCTCAACGTGAATATCGCGAGAGTTTGCACCGATGTAAACCCTCTACACAAAAATGTAGAGGGTTGTTTGAAAAAAATGCCGACCGCAGTTTTTTTTCTTTTTTTTTCTTTTCACTTTTTTCGACGGAGAAATTCTTGGTCGGTCGGTTACCGGAAACACACTACTTTTTTTTCTACGCCTAAGGAAAAATACTTACAACAACAAAAATACAATGAACGTGGCAAGGCTATGAGGGAAAACATGTCAAGAACGTCAAGAAAATGAAGCACTTGGAGACAGAGTCGTGAGCAAGGCCAAATAATCCGACAATCACGAGGTATCTCGGCAGTCCTTAAATACATGGCAAGGCTTGATTCGGGAGCGTGACACAGGTGTGCCTCTTGGAGGGAAAGGCCCTTCACTCCAGCTGGAGCTGAAACACGATCAAGACAGGATCATGATATAGCATCATGTCTGGCATCTATTTTGATCATAAAATAATCTCGTTTTTTTAACTTTAAAATTTTTAAAATGATACAAATTCAACGTTTTCATTCATTTCGTACGGTTCTACGTTGTAAGTTATCATTGGGGAATTTGTTCAAAAACATTCAAATTGTACATTGAAACTTGAGGACTTGAAAATCGTGTCATTTGCATTGTTTGGGGAGATCAGAAAAAAAATATCATTTGCAGAATAATTTTGAACCTATTAAGTTAGTTTCACTCATTTTTATTGAGGCAATCAATTGTCCTAAAAAAATCTGTTTTGAGTTGCATGTTTTTAAATAAACAATTTACTCTACATATTCTACTACTGTGTACTTAAAACAGATTTTTGTATTTTTATTTTTTTACTTCTTTTGACTTATTAAAGCGGTTGAAATACAACAAAAAAAATCTAATTCTGTTGAACGGAAAATAATTTAATGTGACAAGAAGCTTAAAAGTACTGCAGTTCAAAAAAAGTGAGTTGATGTCATCCAACATTTGGCTTTAAAGTTACTCTGTTAAATAGACGAACACCTGTTTGTTTTTCACTTTGTCGCCGCAGGTTCGCTCTGCAGTGAGGAAACGCTGGCACCGCTGGCAAGACAATCACGCCCTGCGGGTGCGAGTGGCGCGGGCCATGTCCATCCCCACGTCCCCGACGCGAGTCAGCTTCCACAGCATTAAGCAGACCACCGCTGTGTGAACACTCCCACACACATGCTCGCGCACACTCTGGCTAATGCGCGAGACGGGGACCAGCAGCCGCACATAGACGCACTCATGTGGTCATTGGCTGTAATGGCAAATTGCTGTCCAAAGGTCATTATGTCAAGAGCTGGGACCGCTGACCAGGGTCAAGCACGTTCATTGGTAGTTGTGGTCATTAACTCATTTACTGCCAGCCGTTTTCAAAGCAGAGTTCCCCGCATTGCCAGCCATTTTGGAGCATTTCGACTGATCTTTCATGACTCGCGTGATACTGTGTTCTGTGTTAATATACAGGAACCAGACCTACCAAAAGAAAGAGTACCGGAAGACTCTCTTCTTTCAGTTGAGAAAAGGTTTGTGTCTGGCTTTTTAAGTTCTTTAGTATTCAGCGGTAGAACATGGGTCGGTTTCACCAAGCACATACTGTAACATGAAATGAAACATGTTAAAGAGAATGGTGACTTTGATGCTACTATTTTTGTCTTATGTGAAACCAAGAAATTACAAAATAAACCAAACACAACTGTGAAAGGGCTTTTGCTGGCAAAAATAATTTATTTACAGATATTCTATGGCACACATTATATTATATATATATTGGTGTATATGTATTTACACACACAGTGGTAAATATAACATGTATCTCTAAAGTAGCAAAGATAATACACGTGCCAACATAAACACAAAAAGGTGCCAACAAATTCAAATGAATTAGATGAAGAATGTTGAAATATCATCCATCCCATCCACTATCCAAGCCGCTAATTGGTAAATTAAAAAAAATATACATTTTTAGTAAAGGCAGCTAAAGAGTTAGACAACATTTTCAGATTTGTACTGTAAATGAATGACATTTATCACAAGAAGTAGTTTACTGTGTCACTTTTCCCGTGTACATTTCCACAATTCCTCTTAATGTACATTTGTAAAATGGACATTTGATCATATTAGTATTTTGTATAAGTTTGATACATCCTGCCAGGGCATTGCGCTGTAGACCATTCCTGTATGGGAACTGTCATAGATGTGCAGATATGATCTCTCTCTGTCAGTCTCTCTCATGTGCGTAGATATATA